AAAAAAAAAAAAAAAAACTCAAAGGTGAGCTGGTGGTGTTAAACATCAGTGTTTTATTTTATTGAATTGTAGCGGCTTCAGGCAGAGCAGGGCTGACTCATAGGTAGTGCAGCTGGGGCCATGCTTTTGGGGCGTTGGCAACTGTAGTTATACCCATTGTTACTTACATGCAAAGTAAGGAGCAGGTTAATGCAAATTGAGGGCAGGCCATTTAGAAATCTGTAAAAAGGGAGTGGTAACTTGCGTGATTGCCATGGCATTTGCAAACTGTCATTGCCATGGCATGTGCAAACTGTCATGGCACTGGTGGGAGTGTCTTATGCTAATGAACAATGAGAGCATCTAGGGATTGCTTTTGTAGCCATCTGTGGGTTTCTGCCAGCTTCTTCACTGCATCCTGACTGGACCAGTTCCTATTTTGGTCAGCAGGGTTGTGACCAGAAGACAAGTCCTACCGTTCTCCTACCTCAAAAGGACCATCTTTACAGTTATTGAGGACTACAACCTGGGGAGGGACCATTTGTGGTTGAGATAATCTATTTTTAAAATGTGACATTCATAGACATTGGATAATAGAATAAAGTCCTACATGGGTAGATATTGTGAACAACCATGTGCTCGAATTCTTCTGTTTCTCCCTAGCCTCTTCGATCACCCAGAGAAAGAGTCAGAAATGTCTTTGTTGTGATTGAAAACACTAAACTTTCCTCAAACACTGAGATTCAACCATGGGGTACTGTACTTAATTTCAGGAGTATGTCTCAGCCACCGACGGTTGAGTTTCCATCAGAGGAACCCCTGTGATTTGATCTGCTCAAACCTGACATTCTGATATGTCTTCATGACATAAAGATGGAAGTTGAGTTTTAAGATGTAACCTAAATAATAATTCCTTATATGTTATGGTACCTAAGGATCGTAAAGTAGAATGGTTCCTTGCTATCCATGGATAGCAAGTCTGTGATATAAAATAATGTATTTGCATATAACCTATGCATATGTTCCTGTATACTCAAAGTCACCTCTAGACAATTTATAATACCTCAGACAATACAAATATTAAAACTATGTAAATAGTTGGTATACTGTATTGTTTAAGAAATAACAAGAAAAAATCTGTATGTGTTTAGTACAGATGCAGTTTTTTTTCCCCAAATATTTTTGACCTGCCATTCATTTAATCCACAGATAAGGAACCCATAGGGAAGGCCAACTCATTTTTTTTTTTTTTTTTGAGACAGAGTGATGCTCTGTTGCCCAGGCTGGTGGGGAATGGCACGATCTCTGCTCACTCCTGCCTCAGACTCCTAAGTAGCTGGGATTACAGGCATGCGTCAGTATGCCCAGCTAATTTTTGTATTTTTAGTACAGACAGGGTTTCATCATGTTGGTCAGGCTGGTCTCGAACTCCTGACCTTGTGATCCACCTACCTTAGCCTCCCGAAGTGCTGAGAATACAGGCTTGAGCCACTGCGCCCGGCCCCAACTGGATTTTCATATGTATTGTATCGTAGATCTTCATAGCAACTGCTTGAGAGACACAGAACAGGATGTTATTGTCCTAGTTTTGCAAGTAAAGAAAAGGCTTGCTATGGTTGAGTAGTTAAGCTAAGAAACTCAGTTAATGAGAATCAAAATCAGGATTAGGTTCTCGGTCTTCTGACCCTGTGTCGTGTGGCATTCTTTCTATTTGAACACACTATTTTTTGTTGTGGTAACTTATTAGAATATTGGATGCATAAAAAGCTTTGCATTAATCAAGTAGACTTAGACTTGTAAGGAATAATTTGTATGTTAACTTATGTTCGTCATTTTTTTGCTAAACTTTATTTTTCTACTATTGTCTTATTTTTTAAAAAGCCAAGCACAGTTGTGAAAACCAATCCCTCTTCTCTCTCTTCTTAGGCTCGAATTATGAAAGATGTGATTTTGAGGATGGGCTCTGTAGTATGGCTCAAAATCAGAGTCTGCAACCTAGCTGGACAAAGAGAAATGGGATGACCGGCCTGTCACTTCCATTTTATGATCACAATGGTGATAAGTCTGGTAAATGTTTTAAATTTATTTTCTCTCCTCTCTCCCTTCCTCTTTTCCTTCCCTCCTTCCTTCTTCATTCTTTCCTGTCTCCCTTTATTCCCTTCCCCACCCCCGCAATGTTTAATTAGGGAAGTGGAATCTTGTCTGATATTTACATATTAGTAGTTAAAATGTCTAACTTTATGCATTCTTTAACCAGTTTCAACATATTTATGATTTTAAAATATCACATTGGATTCTCATAATTGGGTTCCTGGGATTACAATAGGTCTATTTAGAAAATTAGGATTTTCCAGTTTTTCTTACTCTTTATGGAAATTATAAAATGTAAATGGGACAATATACCTCGATTATTTAGACAGTCAAATTTATTTTATTTTGACCGGACTAGTTTCAGCTCTGTCTAGTACCACTTGTTTAAATCAAGTTGACTAGAAAGCTCTACTGAAGTGCTCTCTAGCACTTTGAGGTAACTCTGGAGCCAGAAATTTCTTTGTTTATTAACTAATGAACTCCATTTATTCAACATTGGGTACCGGGTGTTGAAGATGCATCAGGGAACAAAAATGGACTCCATGCCTGCCTTTGTCTGATGGGTTTACACATGCTAGGAAAAGAAGTAACACATTTCCTGGCATAACTAGAAGCTAGTTATTTTTATAAGTGATACTTCTCTTAAATAAATTCAATTAAATGTTAAAATATGGTTATTGCCTGGAGGTAATTTGAAATAGGCAAATGTTCAAGCATTGAATATTAGTTTGGCAATGCTTTCATAAATATTACACATGTGGATTAGACTCCCTGGTCTGTCCCTCCCTAGCTGTAAAATCTTAAGAAATTAATTTTTCAGTCTTAGTTTTTACAACTTTAAGAAGGGGAAATAATGATGCTAAATTTTTAGGATAGTTATTCTAAGAAGTACATGAGAAATTGTTGATAGAGCTTATTATAGAAAACCTGGCACTCAAAGTAGATGTTGAGTCCATTTCTGAATAATTTTGGTGTGCTAATGTTACCTCTATATTGGTAAAATAGAGTTTCTTTCTTTTTTTTTTTTTTTTTTTTTTGAGACGGAGTTTCGCTCTTGTTACCCATGCTGGAGTGCAATGGCGCGATCTCGGCTCACCGCAACCTCCGCCTCCTGGGTTCAGGCAATTCTCCTGTCTCAGCCTCCTGAGTCGCTGGGATTACAGGCACGCACCACCATGCCCAGCTAATTTTTTGTAGTTTTTAGTAGAGACGGGGTTTCACCGTGTTGACCAGGATGGTCTCGATCTCTTGACCTTGTGATCCACCCGCCTCGGCCTCCCAAAGTGCTGGGATTACAGGCGTGAGCCACCGCGCCCGGCGAGTTTCTTATTTCGTTTGGCTTTGATGTCAAAAAATACTTTTGTTTAGAATTTGTAACAATATTTAGGAATCAGCCAGTTTTATTACCGAAAAGGGACCAGCCTCACAAATAATAACAACCACTAACTACAATAAAGGAAACTTTCATTACAGATTTATTTATGTTAGATGGTGACATTGAATCTTGCTCACAACCTAAAGGCCATTGCTTATCTGATTCCATATGTCTCTCCTTTAGGATCTCTTCTCTGTTCTTTCTTTTACTCAAAAGGTTTTTCATAGTACAAAGGTTTTTACTCTAGATTTTTGTCTGTGATTCTTACTGAATTCCTCTTGTTTGCCTCCTTACTGTGGAATTAAATAACTTCAGAAGACACTGTGCTTCCCAACTTTCTTCTCTCTCTCTTAACTTTCTGACATTTTCCCTCATTTTTTCATGCATATTTTTGATTGCCTAGTCAAGAGGTAAAATGGGGGCAATTCACATCAAAGCTGAGATCTTGTATAGGCAGACATCATAGAACAGTATCATCTGGGTTGACTTAACATCTCTGGAGTCAGACTAGATGGCTTTGAAGCCTACTCCTGCCAATCAGCTAGTTTTGTAGTCTCAGTTTCCTCATCTATAAAACAGATAATAATAACGCAAGCTGCACAGAAAAAAGAGACAAAATATTGCCTGGCATAACTAACTGAAGGCTGGTAACTTTGCTAATAGTCATGCATCTCTTACAAGTATAATTAAATGTTAACTTGTAAAAGTATTCTCTAGCAATAATTTTAAGTAAGCAAGTATTCTGGTTGTAGATATTAGCTGTTGGAAAATATTTATAGAAAAATGGTCTTTGAATCCTATCTTTATTCAAAAATTCTTATTTCATAAGTATTAGCCAATTTTTTAATTAACTTACTCTTGAAGTAATCTGCCAGTGCTCCAAAATTATATTTTTCATTATTTTTCATCATGTAATTGGTTCCTTGAGTGGCAAGTCTGAGAATCAGTTGGAACATTAAAAACATCACTGTTGTCAATATTTGAAATCTAGTAAAGCTCCGGGAAGGAATCATTAAAATGTACTGATTTTTTAAAAGAATGTAAAAAATAGATAAAGTAGTGTCACTACAACAAAATCAAATACATCTTCATAAGGATAGAAAAACTACTTTTAAAGATGGGAATACGAATATGAAAGTTTTAAATAATTCTGGAATTCAGTTGATATTCAAGGTAATAAAGGGATTTTTAAATGTATAATTCGCTTTAAGTCTATCAAAGATTAAAAAATAATTTATTTGAAAAGTTAACATTTCCCATTATGCCACAGATTATTATTTTCTAATTTGGGCATTTAAAATCAGTTTTAAATGGGGATATTAGAGCTTTTGTGATTCCAATCAATTGTTACATCTCAAATTCAAATATTATGAAACATGTGCACTATTAAACAGCATCTTACATTTTTATTTTCTTCTATAGTGTTCACATATATTGTGTTTATAATCTCTACATGTTATAAACCCTACAAATCAATATTATCATATTTGCTTTAGAGAACACTAAAAAGAAATTAAGAAGAAAATATCGTTTTATCATATTTGTTATTTTCAGTACTCTTTATTTCTTCTACCTGACTTTGTCTGTGGTATCGTTTCTCTTCCCCGTGAAGAAATTCCTTTAGTATTTCTTGTAGTGCAGTTCTGCTGGTGATAAATTATGTTCATTTATCCTCCTGAAAATGTTTTTATTTTGTCTTCATTCTTGAAATGTATTCCTACTGGATATATAATTTTTCATGGTCTTTTTTTTTCTTTTAGTGCTTTAAAGACATTATTTTGCTGTCTTCACCTAGTTTCTAATGTGACATCCACAATTTCATTTTTTTCTGTCTGTAACATATCTTTGTTGTTTTGATGCTTTCAAAATCTGGTCTTTATTCTTAGATTTCAGCATGAACATTTTAAATTTTGTGATACTCATGTTAACTAAGCTTTCTGAATCTGAAATGTACGCTGTCTGCCAATTTTGAAAAGTATTTTGCTCTTATTTATTCAGATCTTTCTTCTGTCCCACTCTCTCTTTCATTTCCTTTTTGTATTTCAATAATCAGTGTGTTAGACTGTAAGTCTAACATGCTGTTAGATGAGGTCTCACCATATATTTTGATCTTGTTTTCTGTCTATCAGAGTGCATAATAATTTCAATTGATCTGTGTTCAAGTTCTGTGATTTTTTTTGTCACCTTCATTCTACTAATAAACCTATCTAGTGATTAAAAAAGAAATCAACCATAGATGCTCCTTGAATTATCGTAGGGTTATGTCCCAAGAAATCCATCATAAATTGGAAATGCATTTAATACACATAATCTACTGAGCATCATAGCTTAGCCTAGCCTACCTTAAACTTGCTGAGAACATACACGTTAGCCTACAGTTGGGTAAAATCATCTAATGCAAAGCCTATTGCATAGTAAGTATTGAATACCTCATGTCATTTATTGCATATTGTAGTGAGAGTGAAAAACAGACTGGTTGTGTTCCTGTAAATATATATCGCTTTTGCACCATCGTAAAGGAAAAAAAATCCTAAGTGGAACCATTTTAAGTCAGGGATTGTCTTCACTGTATTTTTCAATTCTATAATTCTTAATTGACTCTTTTATTTTTTAGAAAAGTTCTCCGCTAAAATTCGTTATCTTTTCAGTCATAAGAATATTTTCCCTTACTTCATTGTGCGTAATTATAATGGGAGTTTTAAAACCCTTATGTGCATCATCTCCGATTTACCTGCTGCTGATTCCGTTTTCCCATGTATGATTATGTTGTCCCAGTTCTTTGTCATATAATTTTGAGTTTTATCCTGGATGTGTGAATGGCAGTTCTGAAATGCATTATGTATTCTTTTCAGAGCATGGTGATAATTTAAGAAGATGATTAAGTTGCATAGACTCAAACAACAAACTTTTTTTTTCTTTTTTTGAGATGGAAATCTTGCTCTGTCACCCAAGCTGGAGTACAGTGATACGATCTCAGCTCACTACAGCCTCTGCCCCCTGGGTTCAAGTGATTCTCCTGCCTCAGTCTCCTGGGCAGCTCGGATTTACAGGCCTGTGCCACCACTCCTGGCTAATGTTTGTATTTTTAGTAGAGATGGGCTCTCCATGTTGGCCAGGCTAGTCTCAAACTCCTGACCTCAGGTGATCGGCCTGCCTCAGCATCCGAAAGTGCTGGGATTACAGGTGTGAGCCACTGTGCCCGGCCTCAAATGACTAACTCTTGTTTGCTGTGGGCAGCAGTCCGAATATCAATTCAATTCCTCTAGGTTTAGCTGGTAGAAGTGCTCCCTACACATGCAGGTTTTCATTTTGGCAAGAGACTTGGGCAGAAATTGTACAGAGAACATGGGGCACTCGTTTTTGTTTTTATTTGTTGTTTTGACTTGTTTCTGGGTCTCTACTTTATAGAATTTATTTCCTTTCTTTCTGTCAGACCTGCTTATTCCAGGCTTCCCTTCCTAGTTCTTCAGGCCAAGGAGAGAGAAGCCCTTCTATCAGAATTTTAGCCTTGCACTCCACCTGCAGCTGCAGCTGGACCCTATGCCAAAGCTTGACAGAATTGAATTTGCTGTGATCCCATCACCTAAGTTTCCTATCCCTT